ACTCTCCCCGCCTCGAGGCGGGGCTCGGAGTCCCGCACCTGCGCGCAAGCCCAGCCCGGCAAGAAAGGTCGGGTTACCCGGGACGCAAGTCGTGGGTGTTAACCCCTCCCAGGGAGGGACGCCCTATGTGCCGCGTCTCGAGTCCTCAAGCCTTCCGAGAGGAAGGGCGGTCACTACCTTCTATGCCGGCTTTATTGCTCCATCGACGGGCCCCGCCCCCTCCCGGCCTGGCCGGGCCTCCGCCCTAGCCCCACCCCCGGGGGGGTCTCTCGGACCCCGGAACTGAGCGCACCCCGGCCCTATCTACCCACCCGCAGCCGCTCAGCTTTGCGTTCCCCGCCGCCCGTGATGGGTATCAGCATCTCGGCGCACACCAGGGGTCCCGACCACGCCTCCAGGCCTTTGCTTCCCTGGGTTCCTTTACTAGGAGCCTCGTGCCCCTCATTCATATCTGACTTCAGACCCACCAGTCCTCCTCCGCGAAGCGGTCCCTATACATCGACCTCTGGAGCCTCAACCCCCCATCCTCCTTGCTCAGTCCAGGTCCCCAAGGTTTGGGGTTGTCTGTGTCTGTCCACGGCCTCTTTTAAATCCTGGTTGGATCCAGTCAGGCACACCGCCAGTGGCAAAGAGTAGGCAACCCTTAGGAGTCTTTGTCCTGGTCCTACTCTGGCCTGGGACTTTGCCCTCCATATTTCTGACTGATTGACCGTCCACCATCCCGCCCCCAACCTGGGCAAAGGCTGGGGACAGTGCCTGCCTTCCCGGCAATGTTCAAACCCGGCCCCTACTGGGGCCCTCAAGCTGCAACTACCCCCAGCCCTACAAGAGGAGATGGTCTGGGCGTGGGGACCATTCTGACCCCATCCCCACCATAAGATTTCAAACTCTCATCCAACCCCCAGGACCTCCTCCTCCTCCTCTCCCTCCACATCCCCTATGTTCACTTTACCCCAGCGACTCCCATCTCCATGCTGTTCTTCCAATGCCAAGCTGGTTTATATCTCAGGACTTTTGCCCATGCTGTTCTCTCTGCCTGGAATGCTGTTCCCCCTAGACTTTCCCCCTGGCCTCTTCTTTCTCTTTCACATCTAGGCTTAAATGTCACCTCTTCTAAGAGGCCCCATATCTTCATGGTAAAGCCACCTCCCAGCCCTCTCTGTCTCTCTCTGTTTAATTTCTCCCCTGTGTAACATCACAACACCATCTCTCTCCCCAGGAGAGTGAGAGCACTGCGGGCAGGGTCCAGCATTGATTTGTCTCCATGTCCCCTGTGCCTGGAACAGGAACCAGCACATAGTAGGCCCTCAAAAAAAGTTTGTTGAGTGAGTGATTTCACTGAGGCTCAAGGGAATTCCCACCCCCAACTCAGGCAAACGCAGCCCCCAAAGAGGGAGTGTCTGCACTCACACTCCCCCAGAACACCAGCACAGGGCAAACTCCTCCTCCTCCTAGGCTTTGGTTTCCCCATCTGTCAAGTGGCGAAGGCACTGAACGAATGTTCTTTGAGCTTTGCGGATCCAAAAATGCCAACCTTCAACAACATTAATGTGACACTGAAGGGTATGATTTTCTACTGGTGTTCCTTGAAAGAGAGTGAGCTTCCTGTCATGGGAGGCATGCAAGCTGGTTCCAGGATGCTTGGTTGGAATTCTATAGTCTGAACTCTGGAAGTTACCCTTCCAGGTTGGATGCCTTTGAGCCAGTGATGCAACTCTTTTGCACTTCAGTTTCCTCATTTGCAAACTGGTATGGTTTATACTTCACCTCCCAGCCAGTGGTGCACATGTAAAGTACTTTGCAAACACTGGGGGCAGAATCAAGGTGAGAAGCTTTGTAGTCATTATTAAATAAATTCAGAATTTGGAGGCTGCTGCTGAAATTTCTATGCCCAGAATCATAAGGCCCCACCCAGCCCACTGGCCCCAGGTGAACTCACCCACGTCCCCGGCGCGGTAGGCTCAGCTCCTTCTGAAATGAGAAGAAAATAGGGGTCATTCCCAAGGAGACAGGCCCTTCACATTCCTGGCCCTCCTCATCTCCATTTGGCCCCTTGCTCACCCTGGGTTTCAACCAATGCCCGTTTTCTGCTCACCCCACACACTGCACACAGCCCTGCCTCAGGGCCTCTGCACCACCTGTATCCTCTGCCAGAACCACTTTCCCTCCCTTCTGGTGCTTGTTAATTGAAACTCATCCCTCAGGTCTCAACTCAAGCATCCTTCCTCTAGGAAGCCCTCTCAGACTCCCAACCACCTCCCTGCTCAACTCCCCTACTTATATTAAAAATAACTTCATTGTTTAAAAAAAAAGAGTTACATTTACAAAGAAGTATGTCAAAAGTGGCTAAATACTAATAACCTGTTGAAGAAAGGGAGATTCCTGAGTCATCCTTACCCTGTCCCCTCCCAGATCTGAAAGCCATTTCCTGCTCACCTTCTGCACAATCTAGGAAGGTTTGGGTCCTGGGTACCAGCAGGGGATGGGGCCACTGACCGGTGACTCCCTATTGAAGACTCTTTTAGAACTCAGCAAGCTGATCTGCACCAACCCTTTATGTCTTCTCCATATATAGGGCAGAGAGCCCTGTGCTAAGGGTCCACTGTGACCCCAGAGTCCACCCTCAAATATGGCTTGCCCAAGAGGGTTTTTTAATTTTCAAAAGGCTGTGTAGTACAAGTTTAGAATACGAGGACAGTCGGACCTGGGTTCAGATCTATTATCTGTTCCTTTCTGGCTGTGGGATTTTGAGCAAGTGACTGGTACTCCCCATGCTTTGGTTTTCCCATCTGTAATTTGGAGATAATGTAAAGAGGGTTCTGGGCTAAAAGTGATTCGAAATGATTATTGTTGTTGTTGTGTGTTGTTGTTGTTGTGTAATTGTTGAGTTCAGCAAGGGCCTGCGCAGACTATCGCAATACTTGCTAAATTTTACTCACATTTACTGAGCCACTATTACGCACCAGGAGCAGGGGCCTTTTTATAGGCGGGGAAACTGAGGCGCAGAGGACAGCCACTGCCCTCATCTCTTGGCGGAGGTGGGGCCTGGAATCCAGGTCTCTGGACACTTGCTCCTCTACACACATACACATACACAAACACGCCAGGGCGGTCGTGTCGAGGACACACGACTATTTTTACCGCGGTGGGCTCAGGGCTGCCCACATCCAGAGCTGGGCGTTTGTCATGGCAACCAATGACGTCATCAGCCCCCGCAGCCAACTGGAGGGGGCCGGAAGCTGCTGGGCGCAGGATGACAGGGCTGGGAGGGGTTGACAGGGTCTCCAGGCAGGGGAAGAGGAGGATCTACAGGGGGTGGGGCGTCGCCCCGAGACTGGACTCCAGCTACTTTGAGTTCAGAAAACCGAGTCAGAGACGTTCAAGGCGGGAGGAGGCTGACCTGCGACCCTGAGGTCTCCTTGTTTGTTTGAATACCTCCGGGGACGGAGAGCTCAGCATCATTCAGGGCAAGCAGTCATAGACCCAGAAACCACTACCACCACCATTAGGGTCTCCTTTGGTCCTCTCCAATTGTTATGAGATCTTATGCCAGCTTCCTCCTCCCCCTACTAACCCGCGAAACAGCGAGGAGCTGGGGTCTGAACTCAGGGGTACCTTTTGCACCCACACATCATACACATCATCCCAGCCATTTCCTTCCAAAGCCCTGACAGTTCTGAGTTCCCAGTCTGACTCCGCCTATATGGGTTGCGTGATCCCCCTAACCAAACAACTTCACCCCTCTGTGCCTCAATTTTCTCGTTTGGAAAATGA